TAAGATTTTAAAATGTGATACAAGATTCCTTATAAGATTATCTACCTTTAACAAAAAAAAAATGTCTATAAGAAAGTCAAATTAAATTTTTATGAGCGTTTGAAATTCAAATTTTTACAACATTGGATATTCACTCGATTTCTCATGTAGCGATTTCCTTATTTTGTTGTAATTCAAAAACGAATAACTGTAGATACATGAATACTGTAGGCTCCTGATATATTGTTATAATTCCAGTTGAAAAATATTAAAAATACATGGGCACAGTTTTTTTTTATAAGCATTTAAAGATCGAATTTTGACAAAATTTATCAAAATCTCGATAATTATCAATCATTGTAATTAATAAATTATAAAATGTTCAGTTTTATAGCTAAGGATTGCAAATTTAAAACAAATATTCTCATAAATAGTTCATACTGTTGTCAAAAAATATAAAAAAATATGCGAACATATTAAAAAACCTAGAATAACTATTTTAGTTATTTTGTTGTGATTGAATAATATTATTCGAGGGTACTTGAAACTTCTAAAGTGTACTATTAAACATCTATGATAGGATCACGGTTTGTTGTTGATGTATAACGCGTTATAAGTACCTTATGGATATTGTGATATGATTAATTTTGGAATTTATTATAGGTACCTATTGTAGGTCAAATTTTGGTTTAGTACCATATGTATGTACCTATAATGTATATAATATGTCTTATACCTAGACTGACATACCGTCTCCGCTCAGAATCGTTTTTCTTATACAATGATGTTATATCGTTGAATTCAAATTTAATATCATCCATTATACAGTGACCCACTTGTAACCTACTGTACAGCAGAGTGATACCCACTGGCCCACCTTTTTATTAATGTATTTATTCTAATTTTGACTGTTCACATTTTTAAGTATAAATACTTAAATATAATTGTTTTCAAATACTTACATTTTTTTTTACTATTTTAGAAGTATCCTGCGATAGTGCGATGAAACAAACATATTTTTTTTAAATGAGAACTACCGTATTATACTGTAGTCTGTAAATTATTATTGTTATACAGGTGATTTATTTTAAAGGTAGTTGCTTAATTATTAAACTTCATGTACAAAGGATAATTATGACTCCAAGATTATTTAAAATTATAGTGATTAAAAAAAATATATTAATATTTTATAATTTGTAAAAATTGACTGATTATAAAAAGTATATATACATAGACTAGGTATAACATTTAGGTACCTATTTTATATTTTGTGTCAAAACATTACTAAATATTAAGAATTAAAATATCCTTATAGTATATGAAAAGTGAGAATTAAAAGTGAGAATCGACTAAATCTACTATTTAAAATGTTTATTTAAATAATTTGCTTAAAAATTTAGTCAAAAACGATAGCTTGAAAAAAAATATATATCGCCACAGGACTCCTTAAATGGCATACAAAGTTCTAAGTATCTGAAAATATGGTCTTTAAGTATAGGTACTAAAATATTCCAAAAATCAGAATTTTAATAATTCATTATTAATGGATAAAAGAGGGATGAACATGATTCTTGTTAAATCACCCTGTATATATTATGTATTATTTTCTGGACAAATGATACAAATATTTAATGACTGGAGAGAGTAATCAACCCTTAAGAATACTAAAGCAATTTGAAAATTCAAAAAATAAATATTAACATTGTATTTTGAGATAGATAATTAGGCATTTTTGTAACAATTTAATATTTTATATTAAATGTAATATATATTATATATGTATTTTTTACTTAAATGTAGATGTCTATAAGTATCCAACATAATATTTCTAGTAATTTTGCATTTCAATTTTTAGATTAATTTAAATGCGTTCCAATATATTTTGAAAGACCCCAGTTTTTAAAAATATGAGAATAATATTAATTCATTAAGTTTAAATAAAACTTTAAGTGCATCGACTATGAGTATATGATAGTTTATAATTCAAAATAGTACCAACATGGATAGGTATAACCTATACATAAATAATTTTGGGTAGTCTCAGTAGAATATTATTATTCACTTAACAAATTATAATACTAGGAAGTCATTTATTATGTCCCAAAGACACTTCTACTCAGTTTCAAATAGTTATTTCATTATGGTATAAACTGGATTTACATTAATGGAAATGGAATACTTGATTGATTTTGATTCCTTCGCTGACACTGTTGACAGTTAAGGAATATTCAAATATCACTTTAATTGTGGTACTTTTCTAAAATATACAGTTTTCTTTTCATTATTCATTTAATACGCTGATTACTATTATTGAACTTAATTTCGTATTTTCCCTTTGATATATAAATTCACATAATATCCATAAATTAATTGAATTCTTTTCTAAAGCCATTTAATTAGTCAAGTAATTCAAATTCATAATTTTCTTGGTTCATTTAATTTTTTTTATACATTTATTAAAATTTATTTTTTAATGATAATTAGGTATTTAATATTTCATACAGTAATCATTTGGGCCATATTGGTTATTATAATATGCTGTTATTTTCTTGTTAATTCTAATCATATTATTCAATTGACCTAAATAATAAATTCATAACTAAGAAATATATTTACTAATATGTAATAACTAATAAGTAGGGCTGGGATTTGTATGTAAATACATATTTTTAGTGAAACACGATAAATTAATTATTACAAATGATAAATTCGTTTCACGTGATTTGCAATAAAATAAGACATATTTTACTTTACATATTTTTACATATTTCGTCATAAATACATATTTTTACATACTTAGTAAAATTTTCGTTTTTATTTACATACTTCGTAAATTTTGACAATTTTAGTGGTTTAGCAATATTCAAAAATAACTACCCAAACATCCCGCTTCCTCCAGAGCCAATTAAAACAAGGTGGGGGACATGGTTACAAGCGTTAAACTATTATTCCAAATTGTATGATGAAATTAAAAATATAGTATCTATGTTGGATTCTGAACATGCAAAGGGTAAAGAAATTTTTGAGAGACCTAATATAAAGTCTGATCAATCATATATTGTGTCTAATTTTAGTTTTTTTGGGTGAATCAATTTCAAAATTAGAAAACACCAAGATTCCGTTGACTGAAAGCATACAAATTATTGATTTATCAATTTCAAAATTTAATGAATCAGAGGGCCCAACAGCAGAATTATTAAAGAATAAAATGAACGTCGTTTTAAACAAAAATTCGGGACTGAAGACCATTAAATGTATAAGAAACATTCTTTGTGGTATTGCGGTTGAAGACACGACGGAGCTCAATCTTACACCTAGTGAAATAACAGCCATGAAGTATGCTCCGATAACATCTTGTGATGTGGAACGCTCCTTTAGTAGGTATAAGTCAGTGTTAAGACCAAATCGCCGTACATTTAATTTTGAAAATTTAAAGCAATATATGGTTTGTCATTGTTTCCCTTAGAATTGAATAAACATCAATTTATTGTATTTCAATTATGATCAAAAATTATTTAGAATTGTATTTTTATTTAAAACTTTAACATAGGTATTTTTTAAATTTTTCTTAGTACATAATTTTTATTTTATACCACATATTTTTTATTTTATACTACATATTTTGGCAATTTTAATTACATATATATGTACATATTTTTGGTTTTTTATTACATATAAATCCCAGCCCTACTTATTATTATTCTACATTCCTAATAATATATAAACATTGATTTAAATAAATTACATTATCAAATAACATCGACTTTCTAGGAGTTTAAATTATATATTTTATTTAAGAGGGAATATATGGTTAGTATTACCTAATGGTTACATTCGATAGGTAAAGCATAATAAAATATAGGTACTTAGGTATACTCAAGGCTTGGTACATCATAATCTATTTTATAATATTATAAGATTGACATGTTGAATAATAATACTTATTGTATGTTACTAGTCACTAGATGTAAATTAAAAACTAAAACTTCAAAAATACTCCAATAAATACTGTTTGAATGACATACCTACTACGAGTAATCTTCCATTTCACGATATTCTTACAGTCAGTATCGATCTACATTTTATTTCTATTCATTAAAATGGTATACACTTACCTATACCTACATAATTTAAATATTAAACTGAAAACGGCAATGAGTTATATTTCTATAGCTGTCGATGAAATTACACATTTTTTTAAAACTCATTGATTTAATTAATTTTGTTATTGTTAACATTTTATTTCAAAAGTAATTTATATTGATTTGGAATAAATTTGAGAGACAGTTATATTTTTTTCGTTGTTTATGATGAACAATGTCCATATAAAAATCAGTTAATTTTCCTATACATATAGTTTAATTTAAAATGTGATTGTCGTATAGCCTTAAAATAATAAATTAACTGTAAAGTATTATTTAAAATCTATTAACGTTTAATTTTATGGTAGGTAATTGTATTATATTGAAATAATATTTCAACTGTTATAAAAATGTATTTATTCACTTACTTGTGGAAGAGCTATCAAATTATAGGTACCTACTCTTAGAAAATACCAAAGTACATTTTATATCAAATATTATATTGCTAGGTATATATTTTATAATATTTAGTAAATGACAAATAGGTCTAAGAAGTAAAACGAGTTATTGACATTTAAGCCTTATATACTGCTCGCTCTCTCACTTTTTTCATATAAGTTTTTCATTCTCATTGGTTTATGTCACGAGACATTTTATCTTTCAATGAACGCCGTTTGTATTTTTCCATGGTTTTCTTTAGAAATATACTTTTGACTAGAAAAAGAAAAATACGTGCCAAACTCTACTCTGTATATATTATTATGACCATTGGTTCCTCGGGGGGATTCGGTGCTCGGGAAACGATAAAATTTAAGAAGAAGAAAAAAAAGAAAGACATCCCAAGAATGCAATATAACGTTGGCGATCAATCTATTTCCCGGGCTCGTAATAGCAGGACATCCGAAATTAATGGGAATATTCGATTATTTTCGATTATTGTTAATTAATGCGGGGTTCCTCGTTTTCTGCGGAAGTCCATCCCTTCCGCATAGCTCGGGGAAGGGCATTTAATTGGACTGAAGGGGGTAACCGCGACCATTTATCAACCGGCTGCACGACGGCCGTGAATCCCCGGGCCACACGGGTAAGTAGTGTCGTTGAGAAAAACCCTTTTCCTGATTCAAACCACTTCTCTTGCTCTGTTTTCCCCAGCCGCATTTTGTATAGTGCACGGTGAATCTCATCGTCGTCGTCGTACTGTTATTTTGAAAGCCCGCGAAGTGATTGATTGATGAGCTCTCCAAAGTAGTGTAGTAGTTACCTGCGTGTAGGTCGAACTCGACGTACAATCGATACGGAAATGTAAGATTTGCACAAAAGAAACGAGCCTACTTACGGCTCTTAATTTTTCCCTTAGTTTTCTTTCTTCAATAAGGAAAAAAAGTCTCGAATGAATGAGAACGAAAAAAACATTTTCTCATACAGCATACAGAGTGTGCGAAGTGTTACTATAATAATATTGTAGTTACTTTTACATGTCAGGTACTATTAGTTTATTTTTGTACTATGTAGGTAAAAGGTATGATAAGTATTTTACGATTAGATAATCAAACATTATATTTACAATTATAACTTATAAGTAGAAACGATGTTCAATTAAACCGATAATATGTAAATTGTTAAACATGAATTTCGACTTTTCATTAGTTTTTCAAATCATTCCTATTCTACAACATATTTTTATACCAGCTATATGCAAAATATTACATAAATAAGTGACATAGCATTGGTGGAAATGGAGCAGGTAATTTGTTATATTTATATAGTATATGGATTATCAAATATACGGTTAATAGTATACGCTCCACGCTCACAGAACACTGAAAACATTTTTAAATTAGCCAGTCTCGTCAGCCCTCCAGGCTTAACCACTGAATTTGTAGCAAATTTATTGCAGATAAACAATTTTAAACATTTTTATTTTTAAATTAGTACCTACTTTGCTATGAACCAAATGTCTAATCTACAAAGAATACAACTTTAACATAAAGTACGCTTAAGACAAAAACAGAAATCGAAAATTAAAACTTAAATTTTCGGATTCCAAGTTAATTTCTTCTAATTAAATAGCTCTATATTACACTTTCAACTAGATATATTCAAATAATACGAATTTGATTGGTCATTATAAATTAAAAATGATATATAATTATAATGGATATGTTGAACGCGTATTAAGATACCAACACTGATCTACAGTCTGTAATTGCTTAGTTTTATATTTTTAACTATATTTTGTCGGGTGGCACTACTAAGTGCCCTCCTTATATCTGTGGGTCTCTCTATGTATATATTATTATCTTTAATCGAAATTATTTATTGTACTAAATGTGTATAGATTGTAATTATATTTATAAAAAAAAAAAAAAAAAATTTATCTGAGTACTACTTCTTATTTGGATTTAAATATATTGAGTCAAGAACTATACATAGGTATTATAAAACAGTCATTAGTATCACATTATCTTTAAATCACCTAAATTTCACATTTGTATAGCTTATAAATATATCCAAAAAGTTATAGAATATTATAAAAGTATTGGATCCTTAGATTCAATTAGTTGTAGATATTAACAACTTAAATTCAGAACAAAATGTGGTCAGTGTTTTCTATTTGGAAAATCATGATATTTCAATAAAAAAAAAAAAAAAAAATAGAATAGTAACCAAAAGTTAGAAATTAAGAATAATGTATAGCATGTAAAACAAATACATATTGTTTATTAAAAAAAGTTTTTTTCTGTTATTCATATTCTATATTAATAAATTAAAAACATTTAAAATTATCCAAAGTTAATACAAATTTATGAACGAGTTTTATTTTTAATACAAATAATCAAGTATAACCAGTGAAGTTTATACAAATTTGACTGCATAAAAATATTAAAAATAGAAAAATGTATAAACGTTTATTTTAGGTAAAATGCAGTATTAAGAAAAAAACTATGCTTTAAATAACCAAAATATAATCCAAATTAAATCTATTAATTAAAATGTTTTATGATTTGCTTCTCCACGGTATTATAAAAATAAACCTAAAATAATTTTTGAGGAATTGTTTTAGAAAAAAAGTGAAAGTTATAACACATCTATAGTATAACTAATATAAGTGACAAGCAATACAATTATTATCCTTATTACTTTACAGAATTTAGTAAATCTAAAAACTTTTTTAATTCAATTTTTTTTTTTTTTGTTTTGCACCTTAATGGGGTTAAAATTGGACGGTTTTTAAGACAAAGGGCTTAAGTCATTTTTGGCCATTTTCAGTTTATACATTAATTCTGTGTGAAATTTCAAGTCGCGTTGAATGGTACATATATAATATATATGGTATATATATATACAGTATACACCTATATATTAAACATGATTATGAATAAAAAATTTAAAAACATTAAAAATTTACAAAGTTATAATGTTTTTTGTGTCTCCTGAAAAGTATCAATTTTTGACTTAAGCCTTTTCTCTTATAAACCGTCCAATTATTCGTAGTATTTTACCTTGCAGAGGTATTGCTTGGAATTACTTGTGTTAAATGAGATAACGAATTTTTTTTTTGAAAATGTATTAAAATTGATTTTAAACTGGTAAAATACGTAGGTATTATATTATAATAAGCTTAAAAATGTGTGTAAATTATTTAATTTTAATTTTATAGTTAAATAAAATATAATATTTTATAAGATAAGAAGAGTGGAAAACTATCTTGGTTTTATCTATCAAATTTGTTCATGACATTAATAAATACAACTAACAATTGTTGTTGTCATGAAAGTTTCTTTAACAATTTACAAGAAGGTAACGCTACAAATATTCTAAATTAAATTTGTTGTATGTTTAATAAGATATATAAGTCGATGAAATAATTTAAAAAGTAAACTTCCACCACTACACTTTTTCAATTTGTAAAACATTTCAGGGAATGTTTCTCTGAAATTTACCTATGTTAATAATTTCTGAAAAGTTCTTAACCTTAATTTATACTTACTAATTAAGTTTGTTTAAAGACCTTTATTTGCAATATTCACAATCTTGAATTATAACGCATTGTGACAAATAGCGATACAACATTTTTATTCATAGTCAATATATTATATTAAACGAATCTACGTTGAGCCATACCGTTAATAAACAAGGAATTATTCTTTGAATTCGATAAATACATAATTCTATTTACCTATGGCCAATTGGGAACCCTGTGCAAAAGCTTGATTTTAGAAAAATAATTTAGGTACTATAAATATTTGATATTGATATGTATTATATTTATTAATATAATGAAATTAAAGTTCAGTGTACTTACAACTTTTATTATTACTATTAATACTGTATGCATTTGTATTTAAATATTTGTTGCAAATATTAACGTATTCCATTCGGTACATCCAACGTTAAACATTTTAATGAAATAATCAAGCGGAAAACTCTATTCTTAGTACCTAATACCAAATTTGTACATGATCTATGTAGTTAATTAGATGATGACATCAAACAATAAACATACGATTACATTATTATGAATATCTAGGTATTTAATATTAAATTATCATAAACAAAAATATGAAATTTTACATTAAACTCTTCATTTAACTTAAATTGTATTAAAAATGTAGATACACCCATATTATTAATTAGTATATATTTTATGACGTAAAGAGAACCATAGGTTTTAATGTACAATGAATTTGATGACAAAGTTTGTAGCACAGAAAAGGTAAATCTTTCAACAATTCCAAGAATTCATACAACCCAGTTAAAATGTTGAAAAGGACGCATTAATATAACATATAGTAATACCAATGTTTAAGATTTCAAAAACATCAAAACATTTGAAACAAATTAGTACATTTCGTAAGATTACAATAAATTTGTATGTTGTACAACAGGTAAAAATCGATTTTGGATGATCCATAACACTGTAGTTATAAGGCAGTTCAAATGGTAGAGCATCTATATTAGTTATGAGTAATCGGACTATCCAAAAACAAAAAAGCGGGGAAGTGTGTGTCGCTCTGCGGTACAGTGGGTTACAAGTGGGTCACTGTAAGGGTCACTCATAGTAAAATATTGTTCATTTATGCTCAACTTTTTTTTTAATTTGCCATAACAACAACTTATGGTTAACGTTGTACTTATTACAATTTCAAGTTTTTTGACCTAGCATAAAATATTTTATCTACAATAATTTTAAAAAAACTAATAAAACTCAAAATTTTCTTATACCTATAAAAAAAATTCAGATACCTACCTAATATATAAACATTCAGTAAAAATTGCATGTATTTATGGTAATTTTTTTATTACAGTAAGACTGCGTAAAGTTCCTGTTTTTCCTTAATTTTTTTTTGTTTTTTCCCAGGGGCTTTTGAAAATTGATGGGAATTTTAAAGTTTGACTTCCATAATGCACCGTCTAGATTCACTTTCCTGCCGGAAAAGACACTGAAGTTGAAAGTCTAAACATTATTTCAACTGCTTATCGTGTACACAAACACAAAAAAAGAAATTTTTAATTAGATAAAAACACACATCATTGTATAATCAATACATTCATTGATCTTCTCAGAATCTAAAATTTATCAGGAGAACAAATTAATGACAATCAAGTATGTATTATGGTGGAACTTTCATTATTTGGCTTGACATTATTTTGGTATGCAGATATGTATAAAACCAATAAAACATCTATGATGGAATTGAAAACAAATATGTCAATAATCAATACAAACATTTAAATATATATTCCGCAAAAAAAAATGATAAATAACGAAAAAATCATATTGAAGTTGAAATATATATATATATTCATTCCAGCAAGTTTCCACTGAACAAGACATAATATTAAATAGAAAGGAATATTTTCGAGAATCGTTTTACAAAAGTTTCAATGGAGAAATAACAACTAAAGTTTTCTATTGTATTCAATACATCAATCCTCACACTTACAGTATAGGTACTCGTTATTTTAATGTTTGTATACTTACGGTGGTTTGAACGGTCGATTTTGAACTTTGAAAGTTATAACTATAGTACTTTAATTGGGGTATGCCATTAAGCACATAACATAATCAAAATACAGTGTTGAAAAAATGGATAGAATAACTTAGCTATGTTGTGGAAAAATACGTTTTAAAAAGAAGCGAAAAACGAGAACAC